CCCTTTCTATCCCTTAGTCTCCTTATGTATAAAACATGAATATTATTTTTATATCTGCCTCAAAGATGTGCTGTGAGAACTGAGAATTTCTTGATGTGGTAGAAAAGTGCTTTGGGCTGTTGCATTTTGTTTTGAATTTAATGTCTTGAGAATAAGAAATATAAGAAGAAGTGGGTTTTCTCACAAAGCTAAAGCAGCCAATGTGGAGGGCTCCTCACTTTCTTGGGTTCTTCAAAGGTTGCACGAGTTCCCCATGGGGGAAGTGAGCAGAGGCAACCTAGGCAGCCTAGGCACCACCCTCCATGCCTTCCTGGTGGCTGCCCTGGCATTGGTGCAAGGCACATTGCTACCATTACCTCCGCCAATGCTGGGTCTTAGCAACAAGCAATCCCTGTTGGTCCATTGAGCACCGAGACCCTATCTGGGTTTTCCAGGACTGAAGCTGGGGAGGAGAGCACTGCAATTGATAGATCTTAGTCTTATTGGACCAGCTGCAGTGACTTCAGCTGTGGTGATAGGGAGAGGGGAAGGGAGGCAGGGGTGAACAGACCTAGCAAGGTCAAGGCTGGAGTTCTCCAGGGTTTGCCCTCTGGCAAGGAGCATCTTGGGAGCAAAAAACTGAGGCAAACGTTATAGAGTAGGCATCACCAACAGGAGTCAGTAAGCTGAAAAACAAATTCTAGTTTATTCTAGTATTTTATTTACAATTAAAAATAATTGTGAACAGCCACACTAGAGGCAAGACTGAATTGTCTTTCTAATGTCTCAATAGAAAATAATATTATAAAATCTCGGTCGTATTTAAAGAAAATGTTTTTAACATTTATTTATTATTGAGAGACAGGGCATGAGCATGGGAGGAGCAGAGAGAGGGGGAGACACAGAATCTGAAGCAGGCCCCAGGCCCTGAGATGTTAGCACAGAGCCCGACACGGGGCTCAAACTCACGAACTGAGCTGAAGTCAGACGCTTAACTGACTGAGCCACCCAGGTGACCCCAAAATCTCGGTCATATTAAGAAGTAATCAAAGAGTATTATGTTAAAAAAAAAAGAAGAAGAATTTTAGGGCATGTCAGTTAATAATAAAGTTAATATTAATACTGTGATTTTTTTTTTTTTTGTATATTTTTAATGTGTGGTATTTGTCAACTCTTTGAAATGTAAAACTTGAGACACCTGGGGTGGCTCAGTGGGTTGAGCATCCAACTTTTGATTTCAGTCATGATCTCAGGGTCATGGGATCAAGCCCCGTGTGGGGCTCTGTGTTGGACATAGAGCCTGCTTAAGATTCTCTCTCTCTCTAAAAAAAAAAAAAAAAAAAAAAAAAAAAAAAAAAAAAAAAGTGAAACTTGTGATCAAGGGTTCTAAAAAACACTCGATTTTGTATTCACAATTTTATGATTTTTTTCTTAAATTGCATAAAATTCAAACTGTATAAACTTTAGGTTCATAAAACCTGGAAAGGTCTGGATAGAGCATAAATTCATTGTGGAGTGAACAACTGTTCTAGAAAAGTCCAGATCTAGAGTTTTTACTGTCACTCATAGAACACCTGAGACATCAAGTAACCAAGAGACTTGGTCGGTGGGGAGGAGTGGAAGTGCTCCTGATAACAGACGCCCAGGTGTCAGTGGGCCAGAACAAACTCTGCTCTGTCCAGGAGTATGGGGGAGACTTGCACACAGGCCGTGGCAAGTTTTGGTCTTCCGCTAAGAGCGGTGGAAAACTGTGAGCAAGCCTGAAGCAGGGGAAGAAGTACTCAGGATGAAGAGACAAGTGTGTGAGCAGGGAGACCCCCTAGCAGGGGGGAAATGGTGATGCCTTGCACCAAGGTGATGGTTCTTCAGGACTCCCACCGCACTGTCATCAGGTGGAATCACCCTGAATGCTTCAGGGCATACGTTCCCCAGAAATCCCTGCTCAGTCAGTTGACTCCTGGGTCTGCAGCCAAGTGCTATAAAAAACCCTGGGGGAGGGGAGGGGGACTTCTTGCATCCTCTAGGCTTTCCGATTAATCATTTAGGTGGGAAACCGAAGCCTGTTCAGGTAAAAAGATACGTGAACTCCAGGTCAGGATCACAACCCTGTCTAAATATATGACATTCTTTCCCCTGCAGGATGGCAGGGGTTGGAGGAAGGGAGGGGATGGGTAAAAACAAATTATTTTCATTCAGTCATTGTTTCCTAGCAACCAAAAAAAAAAAAAAAAAAAAAAGGCATGTGTTTTTCTGATGTCTGTGAGCACCAGCCCAAGACGATGATGTTCAATGCTCCAGCACGCCTCCAGAAGCAGGGAGAGAACAAAAGCACCAGAATCCGTCTCTGGTTGGTAAGAGATTCTGAAAGGGGAATTTATTAAGGGCTGGGCACCTAATAGAACACAATCTGAGAGTCCTGTATCATAGCTATAGGGGTGCAGGGAAGGGATCTGCATGGAGTATACAGATATTTACAGATATTCAGGGCATGATATTCTGACAGAGTATGTGGGCTGTGACTTCTGGGGGGTTTCTTTCTATGAAACAGCTAATGCCTGAGACAGCTAACATCTTTCCATTAGACCCTTTGTGTGTATTTCCAGCCAGAGTCTTGGTTTTTGTTAAAGCTCTGTAGACAGAAAAGAAGAATGACTGGCTGAATTCAAATTTAAACCAAATAGTCTATGCAAATGGCCCCCTTTCAACCACACAGAGCTACTCAATGTACGAAGTCACTGAACTCTACAGCTAGAAGGGACCTCTCCAATCATTCAATGACTGTTTTGCAGAAGAGGAAACAGAAAAACACAGAGAAAATTCACTTGTCCAAGGTGACACAGCTAGCTTACTAGGTCTTTGGACCTCCTTGGGGTGAGGCTCGCTCATATTTTTAAGATTTAAACCTTTGTTTATTATGCCACGTTGAATGGCGTTGGGGAGGGTGGTCCAAGGGGAAGTTATCACAGTGGGCAAGAAATGCATATTTTATAATTTAAGTCTGAAATTCTAAGGGCTGGCTCAGAATTACAAACAAGAATGGGTTAAAGCAAATGCTAAGTCTTTTGCTTTTTAAAAAAGCATCAAAGCTAAGGGAGCCTATCTGCCCCCTTGTGAACGAATTGAAATAAGACAAATGTTCGGCCGACAAATGCATTTCCAACTCAGTGAATCAGAAGAATCATAATTTGTGCTAGCCTTTATGAAGTTTCGAGTGGTAGGGTGAAAAATGCTCTTGGTGATATTAACGAGGCTCATCATTTTTTAGACAACACCTGAGACCGGAATGCAGAAGACCCAAGAAGCTTGGCCACAGCCATGCCAGTCAGTCAGTGGTACAGCAGACACTACATCCTGGCATCTGGCCTCCCCCGTCCAGTGCTTTTCCTTCTCTCGGTTATGAGGTCCCCTCTCTGGCTTATAGTATTCTCTCCCACTTGACTCTCCTAGAGAGCTATATCACTGTCTATACAGTTCATTCATTTCCTGTGGAATGTTCCTACTTTGTTCCCCCCGCTTTTATCTTTTCCACATCCCATCCAAGACTGAAGCAGATGCAGTGGCAGCAAGAATGGTCCAAAATAATTAATTTGGTCTGGTGAAGAATTCATGTAAATTAAGGACATCCTGTCTTCTCTCCGCTTATTGTTAGAGAGCTGAATCAAATCAAGCATCATGTTTAATGTAGTTTACAGACTACATTTTTTCCCAGAAGTTTCTAAAGTTTTATTCAAACCGTACTTAGGGTGGCAATTTAAAAACACATGCACAATTTCAGAAGCACAGAAGGTAATATGATGAACACCTATAGATTCATCTTCCCAGAGTCAACAAATGTTAACATTTTTTTATATTTGTTCTCAGGGTTCTCCAGAGAAACAGAGCATATATGTATATATGTATAATGTATATACATGTACAAGAGAAACTTACTGTCAAGAATTGGCTCACATGGTTGTGGTGGCTTGGCCAGTCCAAAATCTGAAGGGGTAGCTGGCAGGCTGGAGACTCGAAGGAGAGTTATTCTGGCAGAATTTTTTCTTATTTGGGAGGAATCAATCTTTCTTCTATCCAAGCCTTCAACTGATTGGATGAGGCCCATTCACATAATGGAGGGTAATCTGCTCAACTCGAAGTTGATCGATTTAAGTGTCAATCTCATACAAAAAATACCTTCACAGAAACACCTAGCATAATTTTTGACCAAATATATGGGCACAGTGGCCCAGCCAAGCTGACACATAAAAGTAACCATCACAATTTGCTTTCCATCTTGTTTAAGAAATAAAACATTGTGGACATAGTCGATATTCTACTTATACCTCTCTTTAGATGTCCCATTTAAAAGTGATGCTTTTTTTTAATAAACTCCTTTTTGTGACCTCAAATGCCTTCTGATGCCATCACCTAAACTCCGGTTTCTGGCTCAATGTGGAGATAAGAATTGAAGACATGGCCTCATCTTTGCCATGATGATGTATTCTTTCCAGGACCCACCGGCCATAGGAAGTTGTACACAGGTTGTATAGAAAACTCCATTATGAGCCATTGTACCAAGGTGGATTCACTGGGAGTCACTGTGTGGAATGCACACAGAACTCACATGTTCAGATCACAGCATGTTTGGATGTTTCTGTCCAAATAGTCTCATCTACTATTACATGAGCCATGACTATTTTACTTGCTTATTTATTGCAAAGATAAGTAAATGGTGAATGTTGGGAAACTTGGAAAGAATAAGAGGTGTCAGACAAATTCAAGGTACAGTGCACCTCCCTCCCACCCCCAAGCCAGTTTAATTCCAACCTGGAACCGGCTGGATAAGAGGCCTGAGCTCTGCACACTCCCGGATCCCTTCCAGAGTCTAGGACTCCATGACTGGTATTTGGAGTGATAGCATCCCTAACTCAAATTCTCTCTGATTTGCTGCTGTAGCTTGTAGGCTCAAAGAGGCTGACTCTTCCCCAAGGATATCAGGGGCAGTGTAAGCTACAGATATCTGCTCATCTGGACAAGCCTTAATCATGGAAAGAAAGCTCCTAAAGAAGGAAATGAAAAAACTCCTGTAAGTATGATTGAGAATAAGCTTTCGTTTATTACACTCGGCATTTGGTGGGTTTCAGGTCATCGATGGTTTGGATATTGGCAGAGGGTAAAAATCTAAGAGAAGAATGGATTCCTGGACTATAGGAGAAAGCTAGATGATCTGGCTTCTGCCTCCTGCCTGAGAAGCCTCACATGTGGTGCAAAGCAGGATGCTGACTCTCTTGGGAGAGATGTTTCTGCCAAGACCGTGCACTGCACATCCGAGGCATCCCCATGCTGGAACCTGACAGCTGAACCCCCAGGCCAGGCTGCCTCTACTGGACAGGGTGTGCCTTTGAAAGGGCCCTGCCAGGAACACAGGCGAGATTTCTGCAAAATGTGCCCAAAGGTACATTTATAAGTGTAGCCTGCCTCTTTCATTGTTAGTCTTATCAACTAAATAATTGATCTCCTTGTTCTTGCCATTTGAACTTAAAAAAAAAAAAAAAGCCAAGTTCTCCCATGGAAAAATCTTTTTTCTCCTATGGTAGCTTTTCTATGATTTGGTACTTTGTTAAGAGGTTGGTGAAAATCACAGACCATATGAAAAGGGGAGAAAAGGCTGTTCTGTTTCATATATATTATAGGCACAACAATAATATCCTTTTTATCAAAGACCTTATCACAGTCTTCATCCAATGTCCTTTCTCTACCTACTAAGATAATTATGTTTTAACAAGTCCTTAAGAAATACTGGAATAAAATATGTAGGACTACACATAATTACATGTATGGGCTTGGAAGCCAACATAATAATAATAATAAAAAAAAACCTATTATCAGGAATGTCAATTCCTCCATGTAGAACTGGCATTTCAAAACTGATATAAGTATAATTTTATATCTAAAGAATACATTTAGGCTACTTTAAATAAATTGCCTTGGAATTAGAAAGCAAAAATTTGAGAATTTTTTTTAAATCTTAGCCTAGTGACTCAGAACTTTAAGAAACCAGACACAAACTTACCACCCCCAGCCCCCACCCCACCCCACCCCACCCCCCACAGTAACTTGCCCATAGTGCTTGGTAAAGACCTTGAAAACAGAACTGGCCTTATGTAAAAGTGTGCAGATAGACTCGGGGAGCCAGAATCCTTTTTCCTTATCAGGTCCCTCTGGCTCTTCTCCCTGGGGGGCTGGAAGGCGGGGTGGGGGGCGGGGAGCGGTAAACCACTTTCTGTTTTCCTGCCAGGACCCCTCATTAAAATCACTGGTAGGGAAGGATCGCACAGGACACACTAAAAGTGGAATTTCTGGTACGCTTTTCTGTATAACTCCTCCTCAGGGTATTTGCTTTCTAATGGGGGAAAAGGGGCCTTAGGGCGAGAGAATACATCCATACAGAATATCACAGAGCTGGAATTTTTCAACTGTGGACATTCTGCCTGAGTTTAACACGGGCAGCAAGGGAATTTTTGTTTTAAACAGTGGATCTCAATCCTTTGGGTTTTGTAAAACCTTTTCGGGCGTGTGGGAATTTGTGACGCAGCCCCGCCTCCTGCTTTCCCATGAATCCTGTTCCGACTACGGGAGTCTTATTTTTAGATAAATGTGAGGTAAGCTCATAGTGGTTGAACATTTAAACCTGCACCGTTGCAGAATTGCCTTTTAACTCAAAGTGAATATTGGCTGAGCTACCAGAGCTCTTGGGTTTTGGTGGGGGAGGGGAGGCACTGGAAAGAGCGCGCTTCGGCAAACTGAGCTCCCCTCTCTTTCCCAATGGTTCAATGCTGCTCTCTTGCTTTTAAGGGGAGATTATATTGGCATCAGACTTCGGGAAAATGAATTTGACCCAAAAGGAAGAAGGCAACTCACCTTTCTAGATGATATGGTAAAGAAAGGCATGCCGACGCAAGTCACATTTGTGTTTTTTTGTGTTCAGGGGACAGAGCTAGGACCTAATGTATATCCTAAATAAGCCTAATCTTGATCCTCCCGTAGTGTCCTCATCCTAGAGTCCTCCACAACGTCTTTTCGACTCATTACACTGAAAGCAAAAATAACGAGAAAGTCCAAGTTATAAGACTCTTTGCTCTTGGCTATTTCTCTCCTAGAAAAGATTAAAAAGCAAAATGGATGCAAAGTTAAACGTTACATACATGTTGTTCAACAATTTTTTTGACAAAATAAGTTATGCAGTTCTCTAATTTTATTTATTTATTTACTTACTTACGTTTGCATTCATGGAGAAAACCAAAGAATGGAATAATCAAAATCCTTCATCATTGTTAATGTTGAAGTTCAGATTCATGTTCTGTAATGAAAGTTCCCTTCACGGAAATTATGTAAAGGCCTAATTCACAAGAAATTAGTAAATCCTCAGCTTCTTTATGCTTACCTGTTTGCACTATTAAGGAAGAAAGGATGTGTCCCTGCCCTACCCTCCGTCCCTGGTCCCTGCGTGACTTCCCTAGAGCTGAATAAACAGTTAGGCCTGGTGTTCTAAAGTACATCTCTGTGCACATGTTAAATGGGGAACTTAAATCGATCGGATAAGTGCTTTCAAACTTTAATGAGGTCTCATCGCAAGGCCCTTTTGATTCCGGAAGTTGGGGGTGCCTGGCTGGGGAATTTGTATTTGTAATGAGCAAACAGGCCACGCCCACACAGCTAGTCCTGCATCAACCTTTCCATTAGGTTTCAACCACCAATCACAGTTCTTTTTGCTGTTGTTGTTCACTCTCTAGTTTTGTTTAGTCACTGGAAGAAGTAGGTACAGTTGACCCTTGATTTGACCCCAGATTTGAACTGTGTGGGTCCACTTATGCACAGAATTTTTTTAATAAATACAGTACAATACTGTAAATGTATTTTCTGTTATGATTTTCTTAATCAACTTTTCTCTAGCTTACTGTATTATAAGAATGCAATATATAATATACACAACATATAAAATATGTGTTGATTGACAGTTTATGTTACCGTCCATAGCAGTCCATAGCAGGCTATTCACAGTACACAGATTTTAGGGGTGGGTGCATCTAACCCCTGGGTGTTCAAGGGTCAACTGTACATTGTTTTGAAAAGGTTAGAACCTTAGAACCCATCTAAAACCCCGAAAACAAAACCAACCTTCCCTTTTCTGAAGGGGGGCGGGGTAGAGAGAGGAGAAAGAATATTTGGATGGGGACAAGGTGAATATGCTTAGAAATTACCAGGAAAAGATGGTCAGCAGGCAAGGAATGAACATTTGAAGTGCTCCTCAGCTTTTTACTGCATACTAGACTCTTAGCAAGCCACTCATTGGGGTCTACCTCTAGTCCTTTGCTCATTCTGGTCCCTCCACCCTCGAGTCCTCCACCTGTCGAAATTCTCCTCATACTTCAAGCCCCAGCTCCACCAGAGCCCTCTCTCTGAAGCCTCCCGGGATCTCCGTGACACCCCAGGTGGACACACCACTTCCCTGGTGCCCCTGGGAGCACATTTCTGACGTTCTGTTCACAGAATTCAAAATTGTTCTCTGAGGCCCTCTTCCCCCCACCTTCACTTTTTCCTATGTTAAAATTTGAGGACAGTGAGGTGCTGAAAACATCAATTGCTTACCCGAAGATATGCCATGAGTTGTTGGCAATACCTAGATTTGAACCCAGATTCCCTGATTCCCCGTTTCCTTCCAAGAATCCATCCTTTCTTTTCCTGTCACCATAAATCAAAAACAAAAATCAGTTCTAGTGAGAGGTAAATGTAATGACTGAAGATCCCTAAATATTTCTGTCTGGGAATCAGGTTACTGGACATAGCTGATGATCCTCACCTTTGTGGATGTGACAATGTAGTAGAATAGGCTTAGCAGTGCCATTATCATTGGGTCCAGGGAGTGCTTCGGCCAACGTCTAAGCCCATCCCTTTTCTGTCTGCTTCCCACTCCCAGGCACACTATGACTTGGCCATCAATGTTGCTTTGCAATGGCTGGATCACTTGGAAGACTTCACTTGGCTGGAGTGGGAGAAAGTGTAAGTGGAAATGGTTTCTTTCTTTCTTTCTTTCTTTCTTTCTTTCTTTCTCTTTCTTTCTTTCTTTCTTTCTTTCTTTCTTTCTTTCTTTCTTTCTTTCAAATGTATGACTATGAGTAGTGATAGAGAAAACTTCTATCTGGCATCATCCACCACGAGGCACTCTGATTTGAAAATACTGCAAGGTGGGGAGCCTGGGTGGTTCAGTCAATTGAGGGTCCAATTTAGGCTCAGGTCATGATCTCACAGTTCATGGGTTCAAGCCCCCATCGGGCTCATTGCTGTCAGTACAGAAGCTGCTTCAGATCCTCTGTCCCCATCTTTCACACTCCTCCCCTGCTCGCACGCACGCTCTCTCTCTCTCTCTCTCAAAAATAAACATTAAAAAAAAAAAAACATTGAAAACACTGCAGGATGAGTATCCATCCATTTCCAGCTAGAAACCTGAAGAAACCCTATAGTTGTCAACTTGGAGAACTCATATACTTGTTTGTATATTTTGTATCTACGCATTGGTTTCTGTCGGATGAAGATCCTTCTCCCACATAATGTTCTGTCTTAGAAATATGGACCATACTTTACTGTGCCCATGCCATGATTTTTAAAACGGTCAATTCTGTGGGTAAAGGCTCTTTCTAAGGACTATCAAACACAATTTCTTAAGCATTTAGCTAAATATCTACCTGGGCTGAGGTGTTTGAATTACAGCTGTGTCAATCCTTTCCAGGATTATTGGCATTTTCTGCCATGTTTGCCAGGCAGACCCACTCAACTGATTAAAAATAAGGAACTGGGGCGCCTGGGTGGCGCAGTCGGTTAAGCGTCCGACTTCAGCCAGGTCACGATCTCGCGGTCCGTGAGTTCGAGCCCCGTGTCGGGCTCTGGGCTGATGGCTCAGAGCCTGGAGCCTGTTTCCGATTCTGTGTCTCCCTCTCTCTCTGCCCCTGCCCCGTTCATGCTCTGTCTCTCTCTGTCCCAAAAATAAATAAACGTTGAAAAAAAAATTTTTTTTTAAAAATAAGGAACTAATGAAGACAGCATTGAATAGCTTATTCCAGAGGCCAGTTATTTTTTCTGTTCCATTGCCTTAGAACACACACCTTGTCCTGGCTCGCTGTATCAGTTAGGGTTTAGTTGTAATAAGCAGAAAATCCAGACTCAAGCCTCACCCCCCAAAAGAGGAGGGAAGAAGGAATTTATTAACTTTGCATTTGAAAAGTCCATGAGTTGGTCTGCATTAGGCAGGGCTTAATTCAAAACTCAAATCGTGTCATCAGGATTTACTTCTGGACTATTTCCCCTGGGTGGACATTATTCTTAATTTCAGCCCATTTTATTGCAACATCCAGTCCAAAGGAGAATAGATTTTTTAAAAAAATCACAGGATTGTGTCTCAATTGTGCCTCAGCCCCTGATTTGTCTGGAGGTGGAGGGTGGGGGGCATGGAATACGCTGACTAGCTTAGTCCACAGTGTTTACCCTTGGAATCTAGGGGTGTTCATGGCTTCCCTAGAAGCACATAGGCTTACAGTGGGTAAAGCAGTTCCCTCCATCAAGAAGGGGAAGAGGATATGGGTTGGCAAAACCATTAAGTGTCCACCATAGTGGCCAGTGGTTGCTAGCTGTGAAAACATGGACCAACGAAGGCAAATTCATCACCATTGTTGGAAGATTCAGAATTCTAAGTGTGTACTTTACTGAGAGCAGATTCACCACATTAATTTTTTTTTTTTTTTATAAAATTTTTTTTTCAATGTTTATTTATTTTTGGGACAGAGAGAGACAGAGCATGAACGGGGGAGGGGCAGAGAGAGGGAGAAGCACAGATCAGGAACAGGCTCAGGCTCGCCATCAGCCGCCAGGCCTGCGCCGGGGCTCGGGAACTCCGGATCCCAGACGGACCTGGCTGAAGTCGGAGACCAGGCTTCTGCTGCTCCCTGTCTATTTTGTAAATAGATGCATAACACATGGCCATTGGAGATTACTTATGGATTATTATTATAAACTTAATAGATGTCCAAAAAACCCAAAAATAAACCTTCCATTGTTATTTACTCCTATTCCCCCTTAGGAAAATGCCATTTCATGGCAGACCCACATATCCAAACCGGAAAGAAAGAGAAGCAATGATTTTATCATCTTACGCTGGAATCTTAATGGTAAGGTAAAGAACACTGTTTGCATATATGGGGATTTTATATTTACTTATGTGCATTTTGATATTAATGCATATTTATTTTATTTTTCAACCGCTCTTCCTAAATGCTTAAGGTTTACTAATATTAAATGTTCCGGTTTTAAAGATACAGTAAAAAGTCTTTTATGCCTGTATGGTATTGTGAAAACCTTCATTTAAAAGGCAAAAAAAAAAAAAACAACAACAGAATGAAAGACATAAATAATTGGATACAGGTGATTCTGATTCACCTGCTTATTCAGAAATTACTTATTTAGTGCCCATGCTATCCAGGCATGATGCTGTGCATGTTGGAGCTACAATTGCTTTGTGTCGCAATAAAAGAAAAACCATGACATGATAATACATTTGTTGGTGCTGTTGTTTTTTTTAACAGAACAGTCTTCCAGTTGAGGAAGTCTTTAAAATGTATGGAGCCGATTCTTCTACCAATTCTGGGGCCACCAAGGTAGGGGAGACCCGAGACTATCAATAAGAGGAAATTTTAGAGAGGATTTCTTTATTTTTATACATTTATAATGGATTTTTAACATTGTCAACTGCATGAAATAACAGTTGTTAATCGAAACATACAAAACCAGAGGGGACCACGTCTTACCTGGCTCATAAAGGTTTGTAAAACGCTTTCCTCACGTGAGGGCTGAGTTCATAAGGACAAATGTGTTTTGCGTAAGGCTAAGTAGAGGCAGCAAACAGGTCGCCAGGCTCTGAGTCTGGATTCTGCCTCTGTCTCTGGTGAACAGAATCTCTCACTTACTCTGTAATGCACGTTTGGCAAGCCCAAGAACTCCCCTTGCATGATGCACCAGAACATCCAGAACTCAGTCAGGCAAGATGCGCAAGGTTTGTTCTCGTGATACATTCTGTAGTTTGTTGCTGCCACACTTCTTCCCGCGAGGGTCCTTTAATCACAACAGTAGACGCGGCAATTATCACAATTCCAGTGACCTGAGTTCTGACACCTCTTCTACAGAGCCCTCGGTCCTTGCCTTCTTTGATCTCTTCCATATACTGATCTAAAAAAAAATTGTTTTTGTTAGAATTGTGAATGGTCTTTACAGCCAATTCAGTTTTTGCTACTTACGGATGTATGGACATTTAGTGAGCATTAAACAAGAGGTGCTATTTAGATGTGAACTACCTATCCGTTTACCTTTAGATACCTGTAGAAAATGGATGAGGAAAGGGGGATGTGCAGTGGGAGTGAGGGACAACCCACACCCACATACCCAGCCCTCTGCTCACACGATCACTGTGGATGTCCCCACCAGCACTTGGCAGGGAGGCCAGGGCAGGGGCAGGGCTATGGTCACAGAAAAGCACCCCCCCCCGCCCCCATTCTTTACCTGCAGACCATACAGCAAATCAAGAACTCACCATGTCCAGCTTGTGAGTCAAGCATTTACAAAAAGAAAGAAAAAAAGGAAAAAAAAATCAAGCATTTACTAAGAAGTGTTGTAACTTTGAATCCCACTGTCCCATCACCTTAATCCATATGTAAACTGGCTCTAGTTCTGAGACTCAAGTTCCCTTGATCACAGAGGAAGTCAGTACCTTTTCTCTGATCACTCTAGCTTCAACTACATTGATTGATTGATTGATTCATTCATTCATTCATTCATTCATTCAATATGGTTGTAGGTGCAAGGGATATAATGGTGATTGAATCAGGCAAGATTACTTTTCTCATAGGTTTTATATCTTGTACTGGACCTGACATTCCACCTGGTTGAGATAAAGCCACTCTGTGCACAGTTTTCCTCAGAGACCAAGCTGTTTTTGGTTTTTAAAGAAAGCCCAACCCTTTTGGTTCTTTAGAGAGCCAAGCAAACCATAATGCTTCATTCCTGCTGGGTTGTTTGCTTTTTTTTTTCCCTGCAGCTTTCTCCCTTTCAGGCTGCCGTCTTTCCCCCTTTCCCCAATACCCCCAACACATACACATTAATATCTCAGCTTAACCCTTTCCTTTTAGCCATTGTGTTTTTCCTTATCTTCCGGTGCCTTGGAACAGCTGGGCAGTCATCAGGCACTGATTGGTTGGTCTCACTCGAATGGCCAAAGGGCAAATATAAAAAAAATCACATCCTGGAGGGGATGGCCCTGTGAACCTTTCTAGTTTTGGCTGGGTTACCAATTAAGAAGGTTTGCAAACATGGGTGCCTGAGTAGCTCAGGCCAGGTTCCTTTCAAAGGGCCAGAACAGGAAGTCATGCTGTTTAGAGGAAGGCTGGCCAATTTCTATCTATACGTCTGGTCTTTCACTTTTTCAGTAAAAGAGACTTTATTGCGCACCTTCTCTGTTCGGTTATACACAGTCTCTGTCCTCACAATGGACAATGGGTGACCAGTAACAAAAAGCCCAGATGTGCACATGGACTACATAATGACCAACTCGGAAGGGAAATAGATAATATGGTCATGGAGGGGGCGTTCCTTCAAAGGTCTACATCTATTTATTGTTACAGGATCTGTCAGCTCATTTATTGGTTTGTACAGGAAAGGCAGCTTGTGTAGGGAGGGGTTAAGCATGAGGATTCTAAAGCTAGACTGCCTGGGTGTGAACCCATGCCCCACCAGCTCCAGGCAGAGTGGTCTTGGGTAAGTCATCTGAGTTCCTTCAGCCTCAATTTCATCGTAAAAACTGGGACAAGAAAATGGGATTGTTGCGGGAAATGAGGTGAATTAGTAAAGCCCCTAGTGCTGGGCACATGGTAACCTCAGTAACTATAGTTAAGGTTCTGGTACTTGGGATTTGGGTATTCGATTTCCTCTATGTTCCTATAAATCAGGGTTTCTCAATATTTCAGGCCAGATAATTCTTTGTTGTGTGTGTAGGGCCGTCCTGTGCATTGCCGATGTCTAGCAGTATCTCTGGCCTCTACCCTTTAGATGCCAATAACTTGCCCCAATGTGATAACCAGAAATGTCTCTTGGCTTTGCCAAATGTCCCTTCAGAAGCAAAATCACAGCTAGTTGAGAACCACTGCTCTAAATATTCAAAAATTAAAAAGCTCATCAAGCATCCAAATATATTATTAACACAATATAAACTTTGCCTATTTTAGACACCAAATGATCACAAAGGGTATGATACCATTTGAGCTACAATAAAAAAGTCTGAGGATCCTCTACCCTTGTGGACCTCACAAGCTCCTCCCAGCTGCAAGAATGCCCACCCAGGCCTTTCTATTGTGGCTTTATATCGGCTCAACTCAGGGACCTCCTCCACATCTTATTTAAAAAATTAGTAGAACCCTCAATGGAGATGTAGCATTTCAAAGATTAAAGTGGAAGAGCTATTTTAAAACAGTCTTTCAGGGGTGCCTGGGTGGCTCAGTCGGTTAAGTGCCAGACTTCGGCTCAGGTCATGATCTCGTGGTTCATGAGTTCGAGCCCTGCATCGGGCTGTGTGCTGACAGCTCAGAGCCTGGAGCCTGTTTCAGATTCTGTGTCTCCCTGTCTCTGCTCCTCTGCTGCTCGCACTCTGTCTCTCTCTCAAAAATAAATAAAAACATTAAAAAAAAATAAAAGTCTTTCAAGGTTTAACATAATTTCAAAAAATTGATTTAACTAGGGGATGAGGTTGTTCAAAAGAAGTTATTGACAAAGATTCTTCTGGAATTACTGCATATACCTGAATAAACTTTTTTGAGTTGTTTTAAATGTTTATTTATTTATTTTGAGAGAAAGAGAGAGCGAGCCCGTGCACACTTGCAAGCCAGGGAGGGGCAGAGAGAGAGAGAGAGATAGAGAGAATCCTAAGCAGGTTCAGCACTCAGTGCAGAGTCCCACACGGGGCTCCATCTCACAACTGGGAGATCGTGACCTGAATCGAAATCCAGAGTGGGACGATTAACTGACTGAGCCACTCAGGCGCCCCTATCTGAATAAACCTTGATTCCTTTGGATAAAATTTCTCCTAGACAACAGGTAAAATCCTCCCCAAGCAAGAGCTTAAAGCCCTGTTGAATACTAATCAGATTATGTAAATTTCTGGCCACTAGAATTGGCTACAGTATATAGTGGGTTGTGCAAAGGCTTGATGGTTTTCTTCAGGAGTATTTGCTGCCACCTGGTGACAGAAAGGCATCATAGGCCCAGTATTGTTCTGTCAATTATCCTCAGGTTCTATTCTTGATAGGGAGCTGTTATTTAATGACAGGAAGCCATTTTTCTGCTGAGGGCCTTGGACCTATAGAAAAAAAATCAAGTAAAGGTCTCACACCAATGACAGTTATTTACAATTACTTTAGATAAATATAAAATAGCCTACTCTATTTTAAACTTAAAAAAAAAAAAGGAGCATAAATCTGCCTTAAACAAAGCAAGCCAGCAATAAAAACATTCCTCAGCTCCATTTCTCAGAGAAAGAGGAAAAAAGAAAAGGGAGGCAGAGAGAGTAAAAATCAGTGCAACGAGACAGGAGAAAGACGAGGAGAGGTGGTAGAGAACATCGGAACCTCTCTGCTTTCCTTCTCTCTTCCTGTAGCCACACCCCAGAGTCTGACCCGCTATCGCTTAACTGCATCCAAAGTTCAAAGCATGCTCTTCAGAGATTGGTGTCCAGTCCCTGCTCTGTCCCTTACCAGCTGTGTGGCCTTGGATAAGTTATTAACTTCCCCGATTCCCAATGTCCCTCTGTGTAAATATGCATGATTCCACTTACCCAACCCTGCTAGGTCGTTCTGAGCATTCATATCAGGTGCATGATGCTGGCACAGGGTGGGGGGCCTTCAGCACACTCAGCATGGTCAGCCTCCTTCCCCCCACCCCTCGGAGTCCATTGATAGCAGCCTGATTTCTCCGCAGCAGGCCCATCTTCCACCCTCAGACCCGTTCGCAGCCCCAACCTCAGGCACTCACCACAATAATCCGCCAAGTGTCTTCTCTTCTTGACCCAGCCTGAATCATACAAAAATGAAAAAGTGTTTTCATGATAAAGACAGGGACCTACTGCGTTTATACAAAAGTTCAGTATTGGCAGATCTTCTTGATGGGAGATTGAAAACCACGCTTTCAATATCCATGATGTCCAGATGAATACTCACAATAAATGTTGAATGTGTAAAGGCCAAGCAAACAACAGATCTGCCAAGTGGATGAAATTGGATGTATCAACCATTTGGGAGCTCTCCCTGCCCCTGCCCTTCCTTTTGCTCCAGGCTTCCACTATCTTGAATCACGAGTTTATCATTTTCTTTTCTTTCTTTCTAGTTTGACCGCATATACATGTCTAATCAATGTATCGTTTACTTCTGCATATTCTTTGAATTTGATAGAAGTAATATAAAAGACAGTCTTTGTAAATAGAGCAAATGTTTTATTCCTTTTTTCATTCAACGCTGTGTTGCACAAATTCATCCCTGTTGTTACACACAGTTTATTTTCACTGCGTATAGTATTCCGCTGTAGAAGAGTATGCCACCGTTTATTTATATATTCTTCCATT